ATGAGCAAAGAGCATGGAAAAGGAAGGAACTATAAAGGTTTGAAAGACACTAACAAGGTGGAGGAAAGTGGGCAAGTGGCGTTGTGCAGATAGCAGCTATCTGAGCAATGTGTTTTTGAGCAGTTTCCAAAAAGGATGGGTAGGAGGAAGTACACAGTTGTGCATTTAATGCTCCCTTCCCAAGCACTACTGTGGTGCCATTAGCTTCCACGACGCGGGTTGTCTGTGTGTCACTGTGTGCTATGTAACGGGTCAGGGTGCTCAGAAAAACAGATCAAAAAAGAAAGAAAAATTCCTAGGCAAAAGAGAATATCCGCTTCCTTGCCCGGCTCGCTGCTGTTTCTTGGAGAAAGTGCTGCAGTTATCAGGCCAGTCACAAAGACAGGGCCCTGAGCAAAATATCAACGCGAACCTTGAGGAGTCACGGAGCACTCTTCCTCCTGAAGTACCGTCAAGTCCTTCCAGAAATGAGATTCTATCCATTTCTTTTTCCGTTCCTTCCATAGAGGACATTCCCACGGCGAATTCATTATCAGAAACACCGTTTCCTCCGCTCTATCATCGCGCAAAAGATTAGCGCAGAACAGAGTCTCTGACACACCCAGGGGCTTGGAGAGCGGCGCTTACTGCCGAATGGGTCTTCATTCTACCCTCAAAAGACATCAGTCGTGTCACTGGATTTGCTATCCGTCCTCCTTGGGCCTCAACTTCTTCGATTGAAAAGTGGAAGAACGGATAAAAGGATCATTACAGAGTCTCCTGGTTTGATTTTTGTATCCAGGCTTTTTATCTGACTTTAATGCTAGAACCTCCCATGTACCTTGCCATAAAAGGTACCACGCTGCCCTCATGTGGTCAGACGTGGCATAGCCCCACAAATGATTGCTTTAACCTTTAAATACAAATTTGGCTTTGTTTGAAGGAGTTAAGGGAAAACCTGCGCTTCAAGTTAAAAGTCACACCTAGCCAAAACTCAAATCAAATCAATTTGAAACACCTACCCACAAAAAGTTTCAAGAATTTACCAGTTCATAGATATTCAATTTTTCCCCTATGGCAATCATACTAACACTAATAAAACTTAAAATTGGTGAGCATTATCTATGTGCTAGACATTATAAAACGTTTACATGTTTCACCGCACTTGGTTCTTTTTTATCTATCTTTTTTTCAGATGAGGAAATTAAAGTGCCGTTGGTGAATGTGCCAAGATGTCAGGATAATTAAGAGATACAGCCAGCTTCAAATTCAAGTTGTGTGACTCAGTGACGAAAGAACTATATCTGCACTACTGTGTCCGCCCTACTGTATGCCCATTAGCAAACCTCACTAGTATATCACCGCGGGCCGAGCAGGAGGATCACGACTTTGAGGATAGCTGGAACTACATAGCCAGACAACTTCTGCCACACACACAAGCAACCATTTCATACCTGCCAGGTCTTATTCTCTAACATTGTTTCTAGGAGAGGTTATAAGGAAATTGGCATAAAATGCTTGAAAATGTGACGAGATATGATATACAAAAACTATTTTAACACAACTCAATTGAAAATGGGACTTAAGAGACTAAACACATTTGAATGATGTATCATTTCGTTAGTTGTGCAATGTTGCCATAACTAGTATTCATTATCAATCTTGATGTGAATTGATAAGAGATAAAATGTCTTATGCCACTAGTGAGTAAATTTTGTCAGCAGCTCGGGCTCTACCCCTGGTGAGCGTGACGATATCTACTGGACTTTGTGTGTTTGGAGGGGGCAGAGCTGGGGAATGAACTGAGGGCCTCGGACATGCTAAGCAAGCACTGTGTCTGGACTAGACCCCCATGCCTCTGTTTGAAACTTTGTAATTGAGAAGTTTGTAAACTTCTGTGGCTATGTGGGATGACTTCACAAAACAAGTCATCACTCAGTGTGTTTTAATTCACACAAATAATAAGGTTAATTCTGGTTTTGAAAGTAAGAGTTTCTCCACTCCAAGAGGTGGTAGACAACCTTGGAAAATGAAAGTGAGGGAAAAAAGTGGGGGTCATGTTGCTACTCCACATTGTCTCTCTCAAAATGCCGCAGCATAAGTTGTCTTCCTGTGCTATCATGCTTCGCTTTTGTATTCCAAACCCCAAAATCTTACACTCCAAATACCTGTCACTGTAGAAATGTAATCAGAGGCAACAACTGTGTCTTCTGGGTCAGTGAGAATATCTGAAGTAGATGATTTCAGTTGTCAGCCAGCCTGGCTTGAGAGAGTCTGAGGAAACGAGGGAAGCACACTGCTTGGTGTGTCTGAGTGTGTCACATGACAGCACCTTGGAACGATATCTGGCCCCCTTCTCCTCCCTCAGGATCATCCACTGTTCGCCTTTCTGCTGCCATGCACTGAGCAGCTTTACTCACCCAGACCCTTCTTTTATTATTTGTTTATTAGCAGTGCATGTTTGCAGTACGTGCAGTTCACAGTCTCCCTGGGCAGTGGGTACAGGAGCACAGTACAACTTGTGTTTTCCTTGGAGCCAGCCAACCATGGACTGAACCCTGGAAAACTGTGAGCTCAAGCAAGTCTCTCCTCTCCTAAAATGTGGACGTGAAACATTCTACCTTGGCAATGCAAATTATGTCTGGGTTGGAATTACAGTGTTTATAAAACCTGGATACATTAAGATCCTTAGAAAATTATCTGATTTCCCTGGTAGCTAGCTTTGTTGACATTAGCAAAGAAACTCATTAAGAAGTAAAAAGGAAAAGGAAGCCTTTGACTCTTCAAATAGGAAATCATTGTTACCTGGACCTAAAATGAGCACAGTAAAATTTAACGTCAGCTCTGTGCCTTGCCACAAAAGAAAAGCTGTGACTAAACAGTAACAGCACCCGTTTTTGAGTCAATTCTGATGGTGCAAGAACTCTTCACTCATTATCTCTAACCACATAAAAACATCAGAGCTGGAAATGACTATTTCTCACTTATACAGAATGTGATTAAGTCTGAAAATGACAACTTCTCTAAGGTCGCAAACTCAGTAGCAAATAAAAACCCATGTTTGTCCCATCTAAGAAGGTGATGCATCTACTGCATTTTGCCAGTGGCAGTACCTTGTCTTAGCCCAAGCATTGCCTCTTGTGCTGTACAGATGTGACACTGAAAATGGTGATCAAATGAGAGCCGATTTACACCACGGGGTCCCTGAAAGCAGTGAAACTACATCATTCTGCAGGCTGGGCCTGGACATACACACCTGTAATCCCAGCGCTCCAAAGGCTGAGTAGGAGGATCAGGAGTTTGAGGAGAGCTGGAGCTACAGAGTGAGATAAGCCAAGCCCGGACCGTACAGCAACCCCCTGCCTCACACATGAGCAAAGCCATTCTGCTGCTACCTGCATTTGTGACATCTGCCAGAGCTATTGGATTTCCCATTATTGTTAAAAATAAGGTACAAAAGCTAGGCATGGTGGCGCACCCCTGGAATTCTAGCACTTGAGAGGCTGAGACAGGAGGACTGTGGTGAGTTTGAGACCCACTTGGGCAATGTAGTGAGTTCAAGGCCATCCTGAACTACCTATCAAGACCCTGTCTCAAAAAACCAAAATAAACAAGTAAATAAAAAAGCTGCAGGTCTACAGACATTGTGGGTCATTCTCACACAAATTCCTCCTGCAGTAATTTCTTCTGTTTATCCATTGCCTGTGAGTCTTCCTGCTTCTTACATTCTCCGCTTTGGGATCATGTGATATTTGTACAGGCAACAGAAGTCAGAAAGCAGGCCACCTCCCCCTACCCTGCAGAGAATGGACAGCTCTGAAAGCTGAATGTAGCATTAGTCCTCAGGCCACATGCAGATTTAAATAAAAGTATTTCTTAGACCAAGGAAATGCTAATTGCTTACTACTTAAAATTATTGCATAAATGAGGAAGAAAGTTTCAGGCTCCATGATAAAGTGTAGTCCTGCAAATAACATTGTTCTTAAATCAGGCGTGGTGGTGCACTCCAGTAATCCCAGCAATTGGGAGGCTGAGGCAGGAGGATTGGTGCAGGTTTGAGAAGAGCCTGAGCTCAAGGCCAGCCTGAGCTGCATAGCAAGACCCTGTCTCAAAAAGGCAAACATATATATATATAAAAAAAGCAAACATGTATATTGTTCTTGACTACTGGTCCTGGATTTTTCAGAACCACTTAGGACTGCGGGATAGTTTGAATGCATGAGGCGAGACCTGGCACTGTTTTGCTGTTAATAATGACTCAAAGATAAACCCATTAGCGCTCTATGTAAGCAGCACAACTAAAGCATTTGTCTGCTCGCATTTATTTAAATGTCAGCAGAGTAGGAATGTGCTGAGGTTTCCATAGAAACCTTCTTGGTTTCAGGTGCTTCTGGGGGCTTTGTATTAGGCACTCAGAGAAGAGGTGACCGACCAGTGCGGCTTTTCATCAGGACTCTTGTCTCGCTGCTGCAGTGCCCACCTCCTCCTTTGTCTTCCTGTAGTTTTGGCAGTGCTTTCCTCAACTGCCTGTGACTGAGACACCCAAAATTCTCTTCTAACCTTGACAAATCCCACACATCACAGCTGGTGGGTTGGACGGCATTTCTTCTCTTTTGACCAGAAACAGTTTGACGATGTCTTACGTAGAAATTTAAGTAATTTATAAATGTAGACGTTGTAGAATATCTAATATGTAGAATATGTAACTCCAGGAACGTATTTTCTCATTTGAATCATCTTCCTGGACTGTCAGTGACTGGAGGAGCTGAGGATACTTGCAGTGACTGTGGGAACCCAACTAAAAATACGCTCGGCAGAAACAACAAAAGGACATTAGTAAAATTTGGGGAGCGGAATCCAACATTAAAGATAATCAAATCTTTTAACCCAAACTCTAGGCAATTAGATGCCTGGAAGAATAATATCCTTTCTAGGGGCTGGGGATTTAGCTCAGCGGCAAAGCGCCTGCCTGGCAAGTGCAAGGTCGTGAGTTCGGTTCCCGGTACCGGAGAAAAAAAAAACAAAACAAAAAAAAAAAAAAGAATAATATCCTTTCCCATAAAATAGGGAGAAAAATTAAAAAGCAAGAAAACCCCACACAGTTCAACCACACTTGCATTACTGAACGGCACGCTTCTCCCGCTGCTATCGCAAAACACAGAGAGCTCCTACTGCACTACAAAGTGTGACTAAAGAAAAGCCAACAAAAATAAAATTGTAGTCAGAAACAGCACTTTAGGCCTTGCAGCACCTGAGGCAGCCTGGGCTCCGAGGACTGACTACTCAGTCAACATCTCACCTCAGCCCCTTCCTGCTTTGGAGCTTGAATAAATTCCTTAGGTGCTCCAGTAGATGTGTCAGTTTCCTCTTGTGCAAAGGACAACGAGAATCCCTGCTTTGAGGGATCCTGGCAAGGACTGGAGATAACAGACAAGGTTCCTTATCAGCACACCTGTCCTCTGAAACCCTGCAGTCTCCAGGGTGTTGCAGGGGTGCAAAGTTCCTCAAATCCCCAAAGCATACACTGTAGAACTAATCTCCTATAAAATTTGCACCTGTTCACGTAGTTCCCCCAGATTAACCTTTGCATCTTTCTCAGTTTATGCTTCAAAGTATTTGACAACCTGTAACCGGTTATGTGCTTATAGTAGCTCATGCAATTTCGGTGCTCACTGACAGCACAGGAATAATGTGCACCTTGAGGAGGTACAGGGTTCTGTGAGGTCCATTCCAAGTGATGGTGAGGAGCTAGAGGGGACACAGCACCACAGCTCCCAGACCTAAGACCTAGATCCTGCGGTTATAAGCTGAAGAGACCTGAGCTGGAACCACCCACTGAGCTTTTCCCAGACCCTCTACCATAGAAGCTGGGACTTAAACAATCAGTGTTTGAAACCTGCTAAACTCTGATCTTATGTTTTTATACAACAATGGATGACTAATACAAGCTTGAAAGGTCTACCATGAGCTGTTTTGCAATGAATGGAAATTTCCATCCTCCTATATGGTATCTATAATGTGTACTCTGAAAGTTTACAGATATTTGTCACTTCTACTTTTCCAGGTTGAAGCCTTTCAACCCACTTACAAGTTGTTCTGTTTACTGTTTAATAGATGACTTTAATCTCCCTCCTGAAGGACCTGCTAAGACGTGCATGGTCTGCGTGATTCTCATCCCCCGTGACCCTTCGCTCTCCATCACACTGCCCACACCGCTCCTTCTCTGTCTCTGGAAGGCACCAAACACACTTCCCCTTCATGCCTTTGCTCTGACTGTTCCCCAGCTCAGCTCTTCTTCCTCCGGACATCTGAACATCCAAATGGCTCACACTCCTTCCCCTTCTTCTTTCAGATACTGGAGACCGAGCCCAGGGCCTTCGCACTACATCCCCAGGCTTTTTTTATCTTTTAATTTTGAGACTAGATTTTCTTACGTTGCTAAGTTGCCCAGGGTAGCCTGGAACTTGAGATCCCTCTGCCTCAGCCTCCTCAGTCCCCACCTAGGATTACATGTGTGTTCCACCACGCCTGGCTTTCTCCTCCTCCGTAAGTATTCACTCTAAAATCTCCTCATTAGGAAGGATTTCCTTAAAATTGCAACACCCCTTCCCCTAACTCTCCTTATTCTGTTTTACTGCCCCTTAAAATCTGCACTAATTCTACTACATATTGGTTCTTACTGGAATGCGGGCTCTGTAAGGACAAGGATCTTTCTTTAGCCCCTCAGGTACTGATGTGTGCTGGTCACCCAGAGCAATGCCTGGCACTTAGTAGGTGCTCAGTAAACATTTATACCTGTGAACTTAGGTAAGTTTATTTCAAAAGAAATTTACTTTATGGCATCAGTTGTCCCAGGGAAAGAATGAATTTCCTAGTACTTGAATTTCCTAACTCAGAGGACTGTCAATACAGAGAGACTTTATGGGCTTGAGAGAGTTGTAAGAAAGATGAGGTGCAAGAGAACTGCAAGGGTCAATGTGCAGATTGGTCTGTGAATTAAATATTTATCATTTTGTTCATGTCCTATCTTATCATGGCTGCAAATGAAGACTGCCATGCCTTTGCTCTTACTACCCGGAACAGATGTGCACACTGTTTATTACCTGTTCTTCAGTCAGGGAATCCTGTTGCTCACTGTGTGTAGGAAAAGCTAAAGAGATACATCACATGTCGGTTCTAAGATCTAAAGCAATGCATCAATTGGCAATGCATGTAGAAGCCTTACCCAAGGTAGATAAAGAGATAGCTCACAAATGGGTAGGACCAGTGTCGGGGCTGTGTGACCCGCACAGGAGCAGGTGTGAAAGGGGCCAGTGCCGGCGGATGGTCTTTACCGCCCTCTTAAACTCTCTACTCCTTCCCAAGCAAAGGCTTGCTGTTTCCCCTCACACACTGGCCGCGGACACTGTTTGGCCACGCCGGGGTCCCGGGGGAGACAATGCTGCTTCTCGGCTACCATGCAGGTGCAGGGATATAAACTGAGAACTGCAAACAGAATTTTGTGAGATAGTTGCCCCAGATGTATTTGTTTCCAGAAGACAATACCTGAGACAATCAATTCACTAAGGAAAATGGTTTGTTTTGGATGAGGGTGCTCTAGGTTCCAGTCCAGCACCAGGCAACTCATTCCTGTGGACCTTCCGCAAGAAGGGCACAGTGTGTGCGGCAGAGCAAACCACTAACGTCCTGCCGGGGGAAGCAGAGAGTGACTGCCCAGGTCCCACAGTCTCCCCACCTTCCAGAGGGGCCGCCTCCTCCCAGTCACCACCCCGGGAGCCACAGTCCCCCATCTAGGAGCCCTGGGGACACTCAGCATCCAGTGTGACACCCACCCTGCTTCCACTTTCCTTTGTGTGGAGAGAACTGAGGGACCTGGGCTACTGCTTGCTGCGCTGAGTGGGCTGTGCCAGCACTGGCAGCTCGTGACCTAAGAGCTTGTTACAAAAGTAGAATTTTCACATTCTGCAGGGCGGTGGAGCTACAGTGCTCATAAAGGACCTGCTTCTGGACAGAAACAAGGTGGGGTAGGGGAAGAAAAGAAAAAAAACAATAAAAAGAAGAAGAGCAAAGCAAGTTAGAATCAGAGCACACTCCCCACTGACAGTGTGTATTTCTGTAACAGAAAATGCCCCACCTAGCCAGTACACCTCAGTTTCTTAGTTGCCCAGGTAACAGTTCCTGTCCCAGTTCCAGTTGCTCCTGTCTCTTAGAAACGGCTGGTCACTGTGATGCACAGCTGGTCACTATGATGCACATTGTGTAAACCAATCCCCAACTGACAAGCCATTCTGCCTCTGTACTTCCTGCCTCTTTATCTCATATAAGCCCTAGGCCACCAGAGGTCAGAGCCTGATATTCTGGGAATGATCCCGATCCATGCCCATTGATGTAAAATAAATCTGCCTGTGAATCCTGGATGTTGTCTGGTATTTCCACTTACCGTTGCATTTCCTGTGCACATCAACCAGAGCTGCACTGCACTTCCCCATGGTCCCCTGCAACCAGTGACAGCAGCCACGTGAAGTCCCCCAGTCCTCTCTGTGAAGTCCTCCACCCCGGCCAGCAGAAAACCCTGAACGTGAGATGCGCCAGCTGGCCCGGCACTCAGGTGCAATTCTCCTTTTGCTCTTTTTTGAAGTCCATCCCTAGGATTGGATAATATGATAGTATGATAGACAGCTAAGTGAGGTAGATATATTGTAGGCAGTCAGACAGGGCCAGGCTTTCCAGGGAGTCAAGACAAAAGGTGAAAAAGCACTACAGCTGTGGCCTGAGCTTCGTCACTTGGAGGCCAGCCCTCAGGATAGCGATACAAGGACCAGGCTTATGTACTCTCCAAGAGAAAGATAAGTGATAACACCTGGTGTAGCAAGGTCGAGGTAGACATCGACCACCTCAGTGAGCAACCAAGACCCCAGATCCATCCCTGAGAAGTTCTTTGATCTCTCCTTGCCCTCTGCCTACCAGACCTGCTTCCCCATTGGGTCAATCTTACCTAAGCAGCTGTACTTATAATGTGATTAGCTGATCACAGCTGTAACCAACATTGTACCCGTGTGGGTTTTGCTCTATAAAGTTCCCCTATAGAGTGGGGTCCCTCGGCTACCCACCTGGGCCCCCTCCTGTTCCTCCAACAGGAGCTTTCCACCCCTCAATAAATTTCCTACTCTAAACCGCCATTGTCCCTAGAATTCCTTCTTCGATTGTTAGAGAATACAAACTTGGCGTGTCAGACATCTAGCAGGTCGGGAGTTATAATATATCCCTGATATCCTATTTGGAGGTTTGGATGTCACCCTGTAGCAACATGAAATGATTTGAAGAGGTTAAAAAAAATAAAAGCAAGGAAAAGAAAGCGTGAAGGCTGGCTTATGAAGCAGGCCAACAAGAGCGGCCTTAGCAGTTCAGTAGCTAACACAGTCCTCAGTCTGTGCCAGGCCTCTTACACGGTCAAGTGTCGCCCCAGCTCAGGAAGTGCGCGTCCTCTCCGCCCTCCTTTGCCCAGCGAGGAGGCCAGATCCCTGTGCGTGAGGAACGCGCACTTCTACACATCTGTCCGCTCGGGACCCCGCGGCCACGTCTTCGGGGTGAACTCGCTCACAGCAGGTGGGCCCGCACAGGTGCGGGGGACAGCAGGAAAACAGCTGCGGCGGAGCTCGGGCCCGGGCACCGTCCCGCCCTTCCTCCCAGCGAGCGGACGAGGAGCCCAGGGGCGCGCAGCCAGCCGGGTCCCGCCGGGTCCTCGCCTCCCGAG